TGGGTTTAGGTTTTTTTTGAAACTCCTTTTCGTATCGTCAAAATTGGCATTAATACAGTCGTCCTATAATGAGATATGAGGCTTTCTGACATTTTAAAAAAATGCTATGATCTTATTGCTTTGTAAGGTTTTTGTTCGAAAACTATTTCGTAAGCTGGTAATCCAAATGTTGTTGTATTTCAGAGTTGGAAAAAAACTAGTGGAAATAACTTTACATCTGTTGACCATTCGGATTTTTGTCATCCCCGTTATATATACATCGGAGGAAGTGTTCATGTAATGAACGGTTCATAATTTCAACTAATCCATTTTCTCTTGGAGCATGTGTTTCTAGGTTTGTAATTTATTTTAGATAAATGACCTTATGTGATTACTTCATCATTAATATCCATCATTCAGATCCATTGTCTGAAACAGTTTTTCGGTTAAACTTCATACAGTGTTGCGGTGTGGTACATGTATTAGTGCAACGTATTGTGTAAGTTTGTCTACAATGACCTTGATGAATGAAATTCCCTCACAGGATGGTCATAAAGGGCGTTTTGTTTTAAATGAGATTATGTGGTTAAGTTATAGATTTTGTCCTTGATTAGGTTTTAGGTGGAAACGGTTTATTTAATTGCCATTTGAGACAGTCCTTGCAAAGTGTTTTAATCAAAATGGGTGCGTTTGGGAATTAAAAATTTTGTGTACGTTTTTTTCAGATCCCGTATGTCCTCTTGTTCCTGAGTTCACTTTAAATTTCTACCAAGAATTTGATGAATGTATCTAATTATTCAGGAGGTTTTCTGAAATTCTACTTTTTTCCATACCACAATCATCAAATCAACCACCACACCGAATACAAATAGATGATATAGATTTAGATTTCTAGGAAGTTTCCACAGATAATATCAAAATCATACAACATCAAAAATCACAAAGAGCAAATCCGACTTTTGCAAATGATTTTTTTCCATCATTCAAAGCTATGTTTTTATTATGGAAATAAATGAGACATTGTTTGTATTTCCACCGCAATTATCTGTGGTACAGGTATTAGTGCAACGTTTTATGTAAGTTCGTCTACAATGACCTTAATGAATGACTTTTCTTCACAGGAGTGTATTAAATGACACTCTGTGATTAAGTTATAAACTCTGTACTTTATTGTCTTTTAGGTGGAAAAGGTTTATTTAGTTGCCATATGAGACAGTCCTTGCAAACTACTTTAATCAAAATGGGTGCGTTTGGGAAGTTTAAAAATTTTTTTTATCCTGTATGTCTTTTTGTACTAGAGTTCACTTTGTATTAGAGTTCACATTAAATTTCTTCTAAAAACTTGATGAAAATTTCTAATAACTCAAGGGGTTTTCTGAATTTATCCGCTTTTCTTATTTCAGATTGTGGAATAATAGTTTTGTAACCTTTTCTTCTAAGTTATTTCCACAAATGTAAAATGAAACAGTATAAGCAGACAAAACAGAATATATATAGGACCCATAATGGTCTCATATATTATTTTCTAATATCCCAAGTAATTTTTCAAGTACAGCTCTCGCTACTCTTTCTGTATAACAAGACTAATTGGGAGTAACTCCAGTCACAACTGACACTACACATTTGAATTTTAAAACAGTTTTTACTGATAGAATGAGCAAATGCAGCTTAAATTCAACATTCATAAATACACAAGAAACCCCTATTGGAACTAGAAATTTGTCACAACAAGTCATACAAACTCCATCACATTTCCTCAATGAAGAAATAGTTGAAAAACTACCTACACCAAAACAGCAAACTATTTCCCCTATTCACCCAGCACTTACAAAAACCAAATAAAAAAAACTCCTTTCAACAAACAAAATTATAATCAACAGGTAAACCATCTGTTATCCCCAAAAACACGCACATGGATTATCAAACACATTAAAAACCAAAAACCAAAACACGGCACCCTATTAAACAAAAACAAACAAACAGCAATATTTTTTTATCGTAATTATGACTTTTTCAAAAAAAATAATTTTAGCAATTTTCAGACACAAATTGAACCCGAGAAATATCACTTTACTTGACAAAGACCAAATGCAATATCTCAATCAGCAATTTTAAGGATAAACGAAAACTCCGACAAGCCACACTGAAAGTTACCCAATTTTTCAACAAAAACAAAAATTCGCTGACAAGCAGTTCACATGAAGCCAACCACACTATTCTAAAGATGAAGGTTACTTCTATCATAAACAACAACAAGATAATAATACCTATCGAAAAAATCAGCGGAAGAACATAAATCAGCCAGATGATAGTTTTCAACCAGATTTTTTTGAACCCTGCATGAACACTCAACAAGCACGCCAACCACAAAGACAAAAATTTCAAGGCAAAATCAGGTACAGCCAAATTATAATATACAACCAAAAACCATACAAAAAACAATCAAAGTTATCAACCCGAATCAATGAGAAACAAGATCCCATCCCCTTACTACTGACAAAATTACCAAAAATCAACTCACAAGATTTACACAAACACCAAACACAACAGAAATACTACAAATGACTCATGGGTGGCTCATCTATATCACCCAATAAACCATTGATGCTTTTTACGGGAACAGATACTGACTGCTCATTAGAAGACTATTTGAGTGCTGTTACCGCAAATTTAATCATAAAGTAGGTTCAGAACCAATAAACACATATTTACATCAAAATTGGATACATAGACGCACAGCATTAATACATAACTAAAAAAAATTAAGTCCGATTGGAAACAATTTACAAACTAACTTTCAAAAATGTTCGACTGTGAAATAAACAAACAACATCAAAGAGTTTTGTGCAACGAAATTTGTAGACTCCGGAACAAAACAATAAATCAATTCGCCGTAAGAATAGAAACTCTAGTACGTAAATTCATTTTCTCAATACAAATCATTATAAAAAAAACTAAAAAAAAAACAGATATTTCAATGATGACTTTAACACACAATTACAAAAAAATGAAATAAGAGAGGATGACATCCGTTATCAATCCTAGCACTTGTTAAAGATTTCCGAGAAATAGTAGATAAAATAGAACAATCCTAGATCACAATAAAACTAGAGTAAACAAAAAAAATTAAAACTACAAAACAAAAATACTGTCCACACAACAACTTCACATATTAATAATATCCAAGAAAGTGACAATGAAATAGCACAAAAAAACTCAGCATAGCATTGCTGAGTGCAGACAAAAACAACAAGACAAGTTAAATATACCACCAGAGCACAAGGAGCCAATCAAATCTTATAATCTTGAAAAAAGATCAGAAATTCCCGAATAAAATCATCCAAAACGATAATAGCTCAGGAAAATCACTCCCAAACAGATATAGCGATAACAGATCATCTCAAATATTTTTTTGCTGAAAATCACCTGATCGACGAAGTTCACAAAACTAATCACAAAATGGATATAGCAGATCAAATAGAAAATATAACAGTCAAAATGATCAGTATCGAAATAGTTACTCTGGATCGAACTCAAATAGAAGTATTTTTTAAGCTTTAATAGAACTCGTTCAAATTCCAACTCCCGGAAAAGATACTATTCTAAAGACCGTTCAAGAAACTCTTTAATAATCGAAATTGAAACGACTCATTTATTCGTAATCAAAACATTTCAAACAACTGAACTCGAAATTGATGGAATAATAGACCACAAAACTAAGCTAACAACAGACCATATTATAGTAATTATAATATTAGATCCCGTTTTTATTCTAGAAAAAGAAACAACAATTATCGAACCAGATTCAAAGTCCTTCTCAGTCACCACATCGAAGTAAGTCTCATTATCCAAACAAGCAAAAACAAAACTACAGAAATAGAACACCGAAACATTGAAGACAAATCAATCAAGTACAATCTACAAAAAAACAGTCCTTCAGGTATTGACAAAACAGAAACTTCAGAACCAAAAATAAAAAACGAAAACACAGATGACGAAAGCTGTACCGAAAACACACGAAGTTAAAACATGCTTAAAATAGAATATGAATATGAAACACCATGCGAACCGAATTGTTACCAAAGTGATTTTATCAATTTAAATCTTCAAAAATTGAGTCATAATCAAGCTACTACAAAATAGACTCCACATTTAAAAGAAAATAACTCATGTATGAATAATGAATAACAGAACACAATTAATAAATTACCACCACCAATTTTTTTTTGATTTTTCCCACTATCTTTAGAAAGCCTAAGAAAATTCAACCACCAGATCTTGAAAATTATTTCTTAATCGACTCCGGCGCAAAATCAAACATTATCAGCATCCCTACATGGAATGAAATCCAAAATCTACACCCAACGTTTCATTTTCAAAAAAGAATCTAGTAAGCTAGCCACTGCACAAGGTACAAGTTTAACAAATTACGGAAAACCTAAATATTCTTTCTACCAACACGAATAATGGACAGCAAATTCCTACTGAAATTTTGGAAACAAATATTTTACATCAGGTATTAAAGATAACAAAGTCGGAGTCCCATTTATTAGTTAACAGATCCCAGCTATAAATATCTTAAATAGTAAATTGCAAGTAAAAGATAATTAACGAAACTGAATAAAACATCTTTAAATAAATAACTCCCATTTTTCTCAAAATTATGTCCTAAAAATAATCAACAAAGAAAACATTTAAAACCATTACCAGATATGCATATTGTTTCTCTATCAACCAGTTTCACCAGTATATCAACAACCAACTACACGGAAGTTATATTAAGATTGATCTCGATTTCAAACAAATCCAAAAATTATTTAGAGTAACGATTTCATCTATCAAATGCACTAAAAAGTTAAAAACAGATACCATAGCATTGCATATGTATAATATTTCTCCATATACGGTCACACTTCCTCTAGGACTTTTAGGATTTTGTGAAACAGATGCAACTCGACCATGGCCGCTGGTGGCCGCTGGTGGCCGCTGGTAGTAGTTGTTGGATTGGACTTGATATTAACCTGGGTTTGTTAAAGTAGTCGGATAGGGCGAACTCGACCATGGCGAGGATGACGAAAGCGAAACAAACCCAGACATAGATGTTGATGGCGTTGATGGTGTTGCTGATGTTCTTGTCGTATTTGTTCGTGCTCTCAGAAGCCAGCGTCAACATTGTCAGCACAGTCGTAATCCCTAAAATAGTAGCGGACTTGGGGCGGGGGAGGGGAAGGATGGAAGCCTTCCCCTCAGGGATGCGACCCCCTGCCGACCCAAAGGTTCTCCACTTTGTACTATTTTAAGATATCCATTTTAGGCTGACTGACCTTAAAATTCAGTGCCAATCTAAACTAATATTGAGGAGGAGTGTGCACCCGAAAACAATACTCCAGAAAGTAATTTTCACCGTGAAAAAACTTGAACCAGGAAAAATACACCTGTACCGTGTTTCCACCAAACAGTAATTTTAAACGAGAAACATTTAAACAGGAATTTCGGAGAACGCTGCAATTATGCAGTTTGAAAAATTTAAGCATGACGTTCTCAGTAACGAACTACAAAAATCAGCCTCATGATTAATTTTTCTAATCTATTTTTGCATCATCATTTTTTTGGCGGTTGATTTCATAGTCTGTAGAAACTTCATTTGTTGTATGAGCAAAATCATAAAGGTAACGTTTTATTCATAAGATATCGATTAACGAACCTTTGACTGCATTTTGGCTTTAGTTTGTGTTTTTTTTAGAATTGCATGCTTCGACAAGGGTTTTTGCATAGGCTCTACTTGATATCTTCAATTCAAAATGGAGTTTAACTGCTTTGAACAAAATTTTTGGAATTAAAAAACTTCAATTTTTCTTGCATTAAGAGTTTGAAATCTGAAAATCAATCGCCAAAAGTTTAGTTTTAAGCCAACAGTTTTATTTTCCACGCTAAATATCCTTTTTGTTCCGATTTTCGTAACGAAAGTAAAGGAAGATTTGTGCTCGGGTTGGGTTTTTTTCTTCTGACAAGTTTCATGAAAATTGCATAAAACAGGAAAAAATTGTCCCAAAGTTAGTACAAATTATGACAAAAATCACATATCGAATTTCGTGATCTGTTAGTGCTTTTTTTTGGTTCACATATTTGAGTGAGTAATTCTGGTCGCAAAAAATTTAGTTGAATGACATCGTCTCAGTGGAACAAAAAAATTTGGTTATACGAGTGCACTCTTCGGTATTTAATAATTTTTTATTGATTTTATGAACGATACAGGTAAAATATACAAATACTGGAAAAGGGCACGGAAGATCATTATAGCTTTTACTGAGAAAATTGATCATAGGGGTTTTGCAAAAAAAATTGCGGTCGTTGCTAATGAAAAATCTGCTAATGAAAAAACTCATATTAAAAATTTGATTTTGAATAATCTGTTGTTGTATTGGAACGAAAATGACAAAAACATGAAAGATATGAGAAATTATTTAAATTTTGGCCTTTTTTGCAAGCAATAAGAGGCGACATGATACAAAACTTAATGGAAAATCTGATGAACTTTCTTAAGAGACTCCAAAAATGGCGCATAATTGTTCATTATTTCGTAACGAAAGTAACGGAATATTTGTTCTCGAAGTGGTTTTTTTTTCTTCAGACAAATTTCGATTTTTAACAAGCCAAGTTTGACGAAGTTTTTCATATCATTCGAAAAATTTTGTGGTCCAGAGCTCAAATTTAAAAAAGTTATGAGTGTTTAAAGATTACCACTTTGGCCAATTTGGGATATTAAGGCGCGATATATTTTGCTCTATTATCGCGTGAGCGGAGAATTAATACATCTAAGAAATCGTTCCAAATTGGTCGTTTATCATGATATTACAGTATATTACAAAATATTACTGCTCCATAGACCTTAAAAGGCAGTCGGAACAGTCAGCAGTCTTGTTGTTGCGACTTTCGTACCTAAAGTAACGGAGTATTTGTGCTGGGGGTGGGTTTTTTTCTTCACTTAAAGTTCAATTTTTTAACTAGCCATTTTTGACGGAGTTTTTAAAAATCACTCAAAAAGTATTGTAGTCCCGAGATTGATTTTGAAAAGATATTTCATTTGTGGTTATTTTTCATAAAGTTATGGGGTCTTAAAGATTGCCTTTTTGGCCAATTTGGGACAATTAACGCGTGATATATTTCGCGGTATTAACGCGTAAGCAGGGATTTTTCTGTCTCATAAATCAATCCAATTTGGTTTGAGAAAACTTTTTTTGCCATAATTGATTGGTTAATACGTGCGAAACCTATCACTTTGAACTTTAAGTGGCGTGTGGGGGGGATGCTTTTTGAAAAAAGTTCAGATTTTAGATTTATTTTATATATCGAGAGTTTTATTGAGTTTTAAATAATTACACTTAATTTTTTCATGTTATTACTGCTCCAGAGACCTTGAAAGGTTGTCGGAACATCTAGGGCCTCGTCCTGATACAAGCAGTCTTGTTCAGTTTTAAATCGGAGATGATAAGTGCGAACAGTTCGGCAAAAAAGTTCTTCAAGGGATCAATCAAATTATTGAGCATTTGTTCAACGGACAAAATTTCGTCGCTGGATTTCATAACTACAAATTTTTTGATAGAAATTTATGTACGCGAATTTGTATGTGGATTCTACCTAGAAAAATCACTAACAAGAGTAAAAAAAGCGTATCTAGAAACTTCATTTGTTGTATGAGCAGAATCATAAAGGTAACCTTTTATTCATGAGATATCGATTAACGAACCTTCGTCTAAGACCATCTGTACAGCCCTTTTCTTTAATTTGACTGCATTTTGGCTTTAGTTTGACAAAGTGTCGACATTGGGTTTAGATTTTAGTTTTCGACGTGCAGTCTTGGTTTTGTTTTCAGATCGGATCAATTCCACTTTGAGCTCGATCGTATGACCCTCATATCAGAAAACTAAAAAGTCAAACTATCGTTCATCCCTCGCAGTCTTTTACTAGAATTGCATGTTTTGACAAGGGTTTTTGCATGGGCTCTTCTTGATATTTTCAATTAAAATGGAGTTTAATTGATTTGAATAAAATTTTTAGAATTAAAAAAACTTCAATTTTTCTTGCATTAAGATTTTGAAATCTGAAAATGAATCGCCAAAAGTTTAGTTTTAAGCCTTCAGTTTTATTTTCCACGCTAAATCTCCTTTTTGTTCCAATTTTCGTAACAAAAGTAAAGGAAGATTTGTGCTCGGGGTGGGTTTTTTTCTTCTGACAAGTTTCATGAAAATTGCATAAAACAGGAAAAAATTGTCCCAAAGTTAGTACAAATTATGACAAAAATCACATATTGAACTTCGTGATCTGTTAGTGCTTTTTTTTTGGTTCACATATTTGAGTGAGTAATTCTGGTCGCAAAAAACTTAGTTGAATGATATCGTCTCAGTGGAACAAAAAATTTGGCTATACGATTGCACTCTTCGGTATTTGATAATTTTTTATTGATTTTATGAACGATACAGGTAAGATATACAAATACTGGAAAAGGGCACGGAAGATCATTATAACCTTTACTGAGAAAATTGATCATAAGGGTTTTGCAAACAAATTGCGGTCGTTGCTAATAAAAAATCTGCTAATGAAAAAACTCATATTAAAAATTTGATTTTGAATAATCTGTTGTTGTATTGGAACGAAAATGACAAAAACATGAAAGATATGAGAAATTATTTAAATTTTGGCCTTTTTTGCAAGCAATAAGAGGCGACATGATACAAAACTTAATGGAAAATCTGATGAGCTTTCTTGTGAGACTCCAAAAATGGCGCTTAATTGTTCGGAATTTCGTAACGAAAGTAACGGAATACTTGTTCTCGAAGTGGTTTTTTTTTCTTCAGACAAACTTCGATTTTTAACTAGCCAAGTTTGAACAAGTTTTTCATATCCTTCGAAAAATTTTGTGGTTTAGAGCTCAAATTTAAAAAAAGTTATGAGTGTTTAAAGATTGCCGTTTTGGCCAATTTGGGAATATTAACGCGCGATAAATTTTGCTCTATTATCGCGTGAGCGGAGAATTAATCCGTCTAAGAAATCGTTCCAAATTGGTCGTTTATCATGATATTACAGTATATTACACTATATTACTGCTCCATAGACCCCTTAAAAGGCAGTCGGAACAATCAGGGCTTCGCCCTGATGCGAGCAGTCTTGTTGTTCCGACTTTCGTACCAAAAGTAACGAAGTATTTGTGCTGGGGGTGGGTTTTTTTCTTCACTAAAAGTTCAATTTTTTAACGAGCCAATTTTGACGAAGTTTTTAAAAATCAATCAAAATGTATTGTACTCCCGAGATTGAAATTGAAAAGATATTTCATTTGTGATTATTTTTCGTAAAGTTATGGGGGCTTAAAGATTGCCTTTTTGGCCAATTTGGGACAATTAACGCGTGATATATATCGCGGTATTAACGCGTAAGCAGGGATTTATTCTGACTGATAAATCATTCCAATTTGGTTGGAGGAAACTTATTCGCCATAATTGATTGGTTAATACGTGCGAAACCTATCACTTTGAACTTTAAGTGGCGTGTGGGGAGATGATTTTTGAAAAAAAGTTCAGATTTTAGATTTATTTTATATATCGAGAGTTTTATTGAGTTTTAAATAATTACACTTAATTTTTCTATGTTTTTACTGCTCCAGAGACCTTGATAAGTTGTCGGAACATCTAGGGCTTCGTCCTGATACGAGCAGTCTTGTTCAGATTTAAATCGGAGATGATAAGTGCGAACAGTTCGGCAAAAAAATTCTTCAGGGGATCAAACAAATTATTGAGCATTTGTTCAACGGACAAAATTTCGTCGCTGAATTTCATAACTACAAATATTTTGATAGAAATTTATGTACGCGAATTTGTATGTGGATTCTACCTAGAAAAATCACTAACAAGAGTAAAAAAAGCGTATCTAGAAACTTCATTTGTTGTATGAGCAAAATCATAAAGGTAACGTTTTATTCATGAGATATCGATTAACGAACCTTTGTCTAAAACCATTTGCACATCCCTTTTCTTTAATTTGACTGCATTTTGGCTTTAGTTTGTCAAAGTGTCGACATTGGGTTTAGATTTTAGTTTTCGACGTGGAGTCTTGGTTTTGTTTTCAGATCGGATCAATTCCACTTTGAGCTCGATCGTATGACCCTCATATCAGAAAACTAAAAAGTCAAACTATCGTTC